TAGACCAGGATATTTCATTTATAATTTGCCCGTGGTGCTGTTGTTGATGTAATTTGAATTTCCTCAGACTCTTTAGGACATAAGAAACACTCACGATGAAATAATTGAGGCGCCGCCACTTTCGTCATTCGGCCTCTCTGCAGGCACTTTTTAAAATCTCCTTAAATGAGCCTCCGAAGCCACAGGATTTTCATGCCTCGTCCTTAAAAACCTACCAGCTCTCCACAATGCTTCTGGTGCTCGTCTGCTTTGCTTTAGATCAGCACGCTATCTGGTGACAGAGCAGCGAACAAAGCGAGGCACGGGGAGTTCAGTTCTAAAAACGACTGTAAATCTGAGTTTCCTATTTAACATCTCGGCGAGCGGGATGATCCGGCCTTTGGGGAGACAGCACAGGGCAGATTAATGGCAGTTCGGCTGAGGGCTGACGGGAGAACAGCACGCAGTCTCTGTTTTGTACATCCCTCCTCTGCTCCAGCCTTCACCCCTGTGTGTGTGAGAGGCAGGCTGACGTAAACACGTTAAGTGTGTATTTGTTTTGTGGGTGTGAAGAAATGCGGCCCACTGTCATTCACCTTGCACGTCCTCTTTTATTTAATGAACTCTGGGGAGATTTTTTTTTCTTTTCTTTTATTTTTCAAACCAGCAAGCATTTTCACTAAATCATTTTATTTATGACTCACTTTTCGTAAGCCACTCAGGAATATCTGGTAGAAGATGGACGATTTCTGAGCGTGCAAACCTAATGAGATGTAACAGCAAACAGCCAAAAATCCCTCATGGGAGTCATTTTCTGTATTTTAGCTTGGGAACAGCTTGAGTTGGATTCAGATGTTTAGAATTATTGCTTTAGAAGTCATTTTGACAGACTGTGTCAGTGCTGTTTGACCCTTGGTGTCGATTTATTTGTAATCCACATTATTTATGATTCATGAGTGCAGAACCATCCTCTGTGATTTGTGTCACAGCTACATGCCAGATGCCAAACTTTTAAATGACTTTATAAAAGAAGATGCAGTGTGTGGGTGTGTGTTGTTGCTGGTCACACTTAGAGAGGTGATTATTTTCTTTGACCAGTCAGAGGTTTATCAGCTTGTTTTGTGTGTAACTTCTGCTTAGTACTTAAAATTAATCTGCTTTGGTAATTAAATGGTACTACTTAAATGAGAAAAGAAAATGCTTGTTGCTTTTCTGCTGTCGTGAAGAAAAATAGTATGAAGGTTTTTGTCTCCAGATGGAAAAGGTTTGGCACGAAGAGTTCAAGAAAACTGAAAGAAGAGGGTTTATTAGATGATTTCCACTAAAATAGTTCAAACACAGAATATAAGAAATTCATCTGTTTTCCTAAACCTAACCATTATTTCTGATAAAAATAAAAGTAACACAAACCTGATGTCTGGACCCAAAAAGCAGACAGAACAGTTTTAAACAGTAAACTTCATTTGATTTTAAAAAAACTGAAAACAAAATGCTGACATGGCAGTAAAAATCTACTCACAAAATACACGAGGGAATCACTGGGAGCACAAGGAGAATCATAAGGAAGACATCTGAACTGTGGCCTGAAACCAACAATGCACCAATGTTGAGAGAAAATAAACTGGTGACAAATGAGGCAGGGCTGAATGTGGACAGAGAACAGGTGGGCGGGGGCAGACTGACTGAATGCAGAGTAGGGCTGTGTATTGGCAAGAATTTGGCGATACGATACATATCATGACAGAGGGGTCACGATACGATATATCCCGATATATTGCGATACTATAAGCAAGGTGATATATTGCGTTTTTTGGTCCAAAAATTCTATTAAATAAAAACCTCTTACAGGGGAAAAAATGAAAAACCAAAATTCATTGTCTTAGAAAATTCTAATATTACATAGACATGCTTTTGATACATTTAGCTGTGTTCTGCTTTGTATGTATTTTATTTTATTTGTTTCATATTTCTTATTTCATCCATGTTTTCAATTATTAGACTAAATTTGACAATAAATAGTTTGAAAATATATTTTTTGCAGCTTTTAGTTTTTAATATTAATTTACAATATGGTCACCCAACACTTAACAACGGCCTCTACCTCAAGAGGTAGAGGAGCCAAATTGCTGGCTCACTGCTGCCAACTAGTGGTCAGAGGCTGAACTACAACATAAAAATGAACGGCTGGCAGGAAAGTTGACATTTTAAACCTTAATAAAAAATCGATACAGGGCTTTAGAATATCGATACAGTATCGGGAAATGAAATATCGTGATATTTTAGTGTATCGATATTTTCTTACACCATTAATACAGAGGTTGAACTAAGGGAAAGCACTGAATCAGAAAAGAGAATTAGGAGTGAGCATATCCATCCTATATTGATACTACTGATAACAAGATGAGTAACTGATCGGATCAATACTAATGTGATGGGATTGCTTATTTTGTTCACAATTTAGTTGCAATATTGACTTTATTTTTCACAAATAAAGTAAAAAATAAAGTCAGTGCAGTCTTCAGATTATTTGGAGGAAGTAATAAGTCCTTTACATCATGCCTGCATGTAATTGAGGTTTTATTTTTATTTATTTTTTGTTTGTTAAGCTATTGACATCGCTATATTTTTAATACACTGTTGCTTCTTTTGTCTTACTTTGCACTTTGACATTACTTCTGTATTAGAAGGTAATATGGAATTATGTAATTATTTTTATATGGTTACTTTGTGTTATTTTGTTGTATTAAATTAATACAAAACATTTTTATTTGCCTAAAATCTGTTTTTGTAATCGACCAAGGCAAAATCACAAAATGAAAATGATGCGCTATCAGTATCAGTATCAGTATCAGAATCAGTATCAAAATCGACAATACTAGAACTGTATTTACTTTGTATTGGATCAATCTTTTAAAAAAGTGTTTTTAAAGCATCAGAATAACATCTGCAGATGTCTTGAAAACAATCAGTGCTGAGTTTGTTCATATCTACCTGCTAGACACTATTAGACATTAAAAAAATACCTTTTTAAAGTGAGTCTGCATTAAACTGATTTATTGCAGATTACTCCTTCACCTCTTTTTCACCGGCTCTGATTTTTACCGATCAATATTCTACCTTCATTACCTGAAGATTCACTGCTTCCAAGCTGCTCTACAGTGTCACTTAACATGATGCATGGAGAACACCAGTCTGACCTCTGCACACATCTGACCTCGCTCACATACATCTCCTTCCACACAAACAGCAGCCCACAAATACAGTATTAGAGTCAGGCAGTTTCCCTGCTGAGAGTGGACCTTCACATATAATTGCTTTTCTTGCTGTACATCTGCTATGTAGCTCAGCAGATTGACAGTTTGGACTTCACCTCCATTTACCCTTTGAGTGTGCCGAGAGTGTTTCTTTTAAATGCACAAGCAGACACGGAAGATGCTTTTTTTTCTAACCTTGGCTTCCTTATTTTCAGGGAAGCCTGTAGATTTGAACCAGCTGCCTTGTGGGATATTAGAGGTTATTCACTTTAACCTTTGTGCTGTTTTGGCAACCTTGCAGATAGCTTTTTGTGTGTGTGTGCAAGTGTGCTATATTTGTCATCAGATTTTAAAGCTGCACAAGCATAAATTGTGTTTACTTTATTATTATTTTATTATTACTATTTTGCTTTATTTTACTATAATTATTATTAATACATCTGGTGAGAGTTAATCACATCCATAAAAAATATTTTTCTATTTAAAACAAAAGTTCAAACCCTGTTGAGGTAGAGTTACATCATCTACCTTATGTTATTATTATAATCTCCTATTTTTATTATTAAACTGTAATCTCCTATTTTCAAATGTGTACTCTCATCATCAACATCGGATTACACTAATGTTTCCTTTTCGTCACCCTCCCACTGTTCACTCCTTTCACTGGACTTTGCAGCTGACAATATGGCCACTCTCACATGTAAGACACACAATTAGAAATGGTTAACTCTAAAGGTAATAATAGAAATTAATTCTGGAAGTTAAACAAAAGTTCACATCGAAAATAACAAGAGAATGATAAAACCAAGACAATTTTTTTTAAAAAATTGAATGAAGAAATTAAATTCATCAACATTTTGGTCAAATTCTACATAATGTGGCAGAGACAATCAATATTTCCTGTCTTTGCTCCTATTTCCTTCAAAAGCCCACAGTTCCCCTAAAACATATTCATAGCAGGAAACAGGAGCACATTCTTCTGTCAACATGACCAGACTGGGTTCTCTTTTCATAAAAGACTTGTTTGGTTGATAAGTTCAAATGTTTCATGTTTTTTTTTTTCTTGGCCTTCAATAGATGTAATGGTCCGTGCAAAGAGCAGATTAACATAATAATGAAACTGACCCTTGTGGAGGGGAGCAGCTGAAAGAAAAGCAACAAAAATAGTTGAAACTTTTAGTTTTTCCCTAAAATATCAGCCTTTCTACTTGGAATATTCTCACTAAATTCAGTGTAGCTGCTGTCTAATCTCATCATAGTCTCGTGACTTAATTATAATTTACTGTTCTTATATTTTTTTATTATAACATACAGTAAATGCACGTTTCAGATACAGGAAACTGTGTCATGTTGGACAACAGTAACAGCTGAGACTTCATCTCCTTCATGTCTTTTCTGCCCTCACAGATCGTGGTGACCCCTAATGATTCAAAACATGCCTTGTTGGTGGTATAAAAATAACTAAAGACAAAGAATCTCCCTGACATTTTTAGCTGTCCTTTTGTCCTCCTTCGTGGACACCTTCTCGTTCCTGTTTATTTTTAGAAGTAGAGTTTGTGAGATCATACATGAGTCCCATATGTTCCTGTTGGATTCTCCTCAATCATGTTATGACCCGCTGAGCCGAGCAGTAAATCAATCCCGTCATCCGCTCGGCTAATAGGGGGCCGAGGTTGGGGAACTTTGGCTGGCTGTGTGTTTTTACGGAAGTGTTGGAAAGAAAAAAAAACTTAGTAATCAATGTTGTTTTCTTTTCGTTTCCTGCAGTCTCAGCAGAAGTGCATTGTGATCTTTGCCTTGGTGTGCTGCTTTGCTGTGCTGGTGGCGCTGATTTTCTCAGCAGTGGATATCTGGGGCGAGGATGAGGATGGAATCACAGAGGAGAACTGCTCAAGGAACTGCAGGTAAGACGTGCAGAAGAACAAATATTCATTGTCCTGGTATCCAGTTGTTGTTTTCACTAATGCTCTCAGCTGATAAGTGTGCATCCATTTCTTTAAAGGGATCCCTGATTAGTTGTAACATTAGACTTTATTTAATAAACATATATTTTAAC